TGCTTGCTCTTATGTAGTCTTGCTATGCCAACTTCATTGTACCATTGTTATGAACTTTTCCTAGTGGAACTCTTGCCAACTTTCCCCGTGAACTAGCAAGTAGTGTGTGCACAAGGAAAACGACTAAGGACTAACGAACGCAGAGATCACACGAGCACCCGTGCATAGCCCGTAGTCTAGCTTCCGTTGTAGCAGTTATCTCCGCATTTGCGCCCGTTGCTGCGGTGCTCCCCTAAGAACACAGTTCGACTGTCAATGCTCTATACACCTGTTATAGTGTATCATTGCATAAAAAAAAAAAAAAGCCGCGATCGGCTCGAAGCGCGCCCGAAGCCCTGCGCACCACGCATCCCACGTGCTGTGTTGGGCTGTTTCGCAGAGTGAACTACAGGTGACGGCTGGACCCGTGGGCCCTTCCTCTTGCGACGGTGGCTCGTAGGCGCGTGGCGACGTCACGATGACTCCCCACCAGACCATGGCGGGGCCGAAACAACGTAGCGAATCTTCACTGCGTCCGACTCGACGTAATTCGCGTCAAAGAAGACGTTCATCGTGAAAACCCACGACTGAACCGTCGGACCTCCACGTTGGCTTGGATCGAAACAGGGCGGGCGCTGCGGCTTGAGTGGCATTGGTGCCATGATATCGTGGTTGCTACTTGTTGCTGCAAACTCCACGTGCTGACGAGCTTCGCGAGGCCCACGTGGGCTTGGTGCGGCCCGATTTTGTCAGTAGATCTGCACTGTGGATTCCCGATTGATCCTGGAGAGGGTTACAGGCGCGTTCGTCTGGGGGGTTATGGGCGCACTGACCCGCTACTGAAACAAGCCCTTTTATCCCGATGGTCTAATGGTTGGGATTCTGACATGGTATCAGAGCGGTCTCGGGTTCGTTTCCCGGTGTATGCACATGTAGGCCGTTGCCGCTGTGCTTAGTCCTGGGCCTCCCAGTGTGGGGGGGTGTCAGTAGATCTGCACTGTGGATGCCCGATTGATCCTGGAGAGGGTTACAGGCGCGTTTGTCTGGGGGATTATGGGCGCACTGACCCGCTACTGAAACAAGCCCTTTTATCCCAATGGTCTAATGGTTGGGATTCTGACAGATTTTTCTCCATGCCAGGCATCCATTGAGCGGCGCCATCACTGGCTGCGCCTGAGCGTTATCCCATGCTGTCGTTTTGCGTCGGTGTGCCTGATGAGATGACGATCGGTTTTTCTGATTGTGCAGGTGCATTCGCGGGTGCTTGTGATAGAGCTGGTGCATTCACCGTTGATTGCTGGCGGGCGGAGTCACGTTCCGCCGTGAGTGTCGCGATTTCGAGTGCCGAATCCTCGAGTTGACGCACGAGACGGTCGAGCTGCTCCTGTGTCAATGTCGCGAGCGTGAATTCGGCCATGGCGGGGGTGTCGGGCGAGCTCAGCGAGAGCCTCTGTCGTGGCCGTGCGTGCTTACGATAGAGCACTACGAGCGGCGGTGCTGTGTCGCTGACGTCTACCCCCCCAAAAAAATTGAGATAGTGGGGAAACGAAGGTGTGGGTGCGGTCCGAGAAGAGATCGTAGGCTCTGAATACCAAGTGTTCCGAGTGCAATTGAGTGAACGAGCGAGAATTGCACTATCGAAGCAAGAGTACAATGAGCGAAGGCATGAGCGAAGAATATATAGCGAAACTAAAGTGGTAACGGTAATGGATTGTGGTTGTCGCGCGACAGGCCTGGGACTGAGGTTGGGGAAAATGTCGAAGCGGAGGCCCGGAGTGCGGGTTACCCGCCGAGCCATGAGGTCGGGGTGCGACGTGCGAAGGTGGCGGGAGGATTGTCGATGCGAGGGTTGCGAGTGGTAACGGTGCTGACTGTGGTGCTATAGTGGTGTACGCGCTGAGCGGGGACGCGAAGTAAGGAAAATGATTTTTCCTTACATGAGAGCGTGTTACGTACCCCTTATTTTGGGGCCTGGTCGAGGTTGCCGCGAACGGTCGGGTTGGGTTTGTCAGAATATTATCTTATTGTTCTAGCCTGTAGTGGGGTGCTCTATAGCGAGTACAACCCTTCTAGGGTTTGCTATTTGTATCCTCATTCTTGCTAGTTCAATCCTCTTTCTTCTTCTAAATTTTGACATGCTATCAGAGCAGGTCGATCCCCTTGGATCGATCCTGTGGGTGGGTTTCCACCTCGCTTCCGCTGCTACCTTTCCTTCCCGCCGTGCGCCCCGAGGCGCGCGGCGGTTTTCCTTCCCGCCGTGCGCCCCGAGGCGCGCGGCGGTTTTCTGCCCGCCGTGCGCCCCGGGGCGCGCGGCGGTTCTTTGCCCGCTGTGCGCCCCGGGGCGCGCGGCGGGCGTCTGCTCTACGCCGCGGCCCCGCCCTACGTCGCGGCCCTGCCCGACCGTCGCGGCCCCACCCTACGTCGCGGCCCTGCCCCTCGTTGCGGCCCCGCCCTGTGTCGCGGCCCCGCCCCTCGAAGCGGCCCTGCCCGACCGTCGCGGCCCCGCCCTACGTTGCGGCCTTGCCCGACCGTCGCGGCCCCGCCCCTCGTCGCGGCCCCGCCCCTCGTCGCGGCCCCGCCCTACGTCGCGGCCCCGCCCTGTGTCGCGGCCCCGCCCCTCGAAGCGGCCCCGCCCTACCTGTCGCGGCCCCGCCCTGACCGTCGCGGCCCCGCCACTCGTTGCGGCCCCGTCCCTTGTCGCGGCTCCGCCCTCCGATCAGGTCCGTGGTGGGCCCTTTCCTCCACACCCCCTCCCCCCCCCCCTCCCTCCCATTTCCCGTCGTCTGTCGAGGCGACCTGAGGGGGCCGCTTGCGGCCCCCTCAGGTCGCCTCGACAGACGACGGGAGGGGCGAGCTGTGGGGTGGCGGGTATGGGGGTGGTCGGTGTGCCTTCCTCCCTTTCTCCTCCTCCTCCTTCGTCTCCCACTGCTGCAGCTGTCGCTGAGGGGGGTGGTTGTGTGGGAGACTGGGTTTAGGGTTTCAGGGGGATGTGTGGGAGTAGAGCTAGTGGTGTAGCAGTGGGTGTGTATTAGGGGGGTGGGACTGTGTGCGGGAGGATGAGCGGAGGTTGCCAGTTTGTCGTCAGCAGCACCTGTAGTCCGGGGCGCTGTCCCGGTAGCCCAGTCGTAGCCAGCTGTGCCAGCCGCCCGTGGGTCCGTTGCCCGTCCGCCGCTATTTGAGCCGCGGGGCCTGTTACTCCTGTAGTCCGGGCGCTGTCCGGTAGCCGCTGTGCCAGTCTGCCTCCTGTTGCCCGTGTGTCTGCAGCTTCAGCCGTCGCCTCCCGTCTCCTCTCCCCTCACTCTCCCTCCTCCTCCTCACTTGCCCGTTGTGACTACCACTAGCTTTGCTTATAATTGTAAACTCTAAACTATTTCTTCTTGAACTTGTGCTCAGAATGTGTGGTGACATTGTGATCCACCCTGAGCTTGTTTTGCTTTGCCTGCTCTGCTGATTACACCCCACTTTGGCTATGGGGGTGTGTCAGAATATTATCTTATTGTTCTAGCCTGTAGTGGGGTGCTCTATAGCGAGTACAACCCTTCTAGGGTTTGCTATTTGTATCCTCATTCTTGCTAGTTCAATCCTCTTTCTTCTTCTAAATTTTGACAGGGTTGAACGTAGGGTTACCAGATTACCCTAGTGTGTACAGTGTACAGTAAAGGACGTGCGTACCAGGGCACGGTCACACTCGGTCGAGGCGACCAGTTAGTCAAGCAACCAGTTGATGCTGCCCACACACAACCAGGTCGAGGCAACCAACACGCAAACGTACCAACCTGCTGCGCAACCAGTGGTACACGAAAACATTGCGGGCAGGTTGCATTATCTAAAGTCGACGTGATTAGTGCAAGAAAATTTTCATCTAAGGTAGGCCAGTCAGGTTGCCTGACTGTTGGGTCTGCCCTAGATACTATTCGCGTGGTTGGATCCCGAAAACAAGCGGGTGGTACAATTGCAGGTTGACTTGTGGGTACCCAACCGCCCACCAGTCGACCCGACCAGTCAGGTTGGGTCGACTTTTGCGTGCAACCGGTCGATCTTTGCATGCAACCCGTCGATCTTTGCATGCAACCAGTCAGGTTAGGTACGTAACACGCTCTGAGTTCGCTTGAGAAGGAATCTGAGTTTTTGTTTCGCTTGCGCCACTTCGCCAGCTTGCCTACGAATATTGCAGTTTTCGCGCGGGCACATTTCTGTCGTCAACCCCGATGTGACACCCTTTGGGATTCGCAAGCTCTAGGTGCTGATGTGGCACTCCCAGAGCTGAGAATTTGACAAGAGAGTCCTGTCCTACGTGTCACATCCCTTGTTTTCGCCAATCCCAGCGCAAATATACCATGCTGCGTGCGTGAACAGATGACTCCAGCATGTGCCCAATGAAGGCGATCTGACGGACAACCCCGATTCCCAACCCAACCCAATCCAAACCAAGGGCCCTGTTCTGTAGGCGTTATTTTGGCAAAAATCGAGCAGCGCGGAATCTTCTGCAATAGGCAGAAATTGTGTTATCAAGGTTCGGGATATGCCGACTCTTCCCGAACCTGGCCGAATCACGTTAAGCGCGAGTGCCAACAGAACACCACTTGTTGGTCCGCACCACGTTAACCGCACGAGGCTTCCTGCACGCTTCCTCACCAGGCAAATGTCCGCACAAGTTTAACCCAGCCAAATCAACCTCGGGAGCTAGCATCAGCCTCTGCACAAGTTATGCGGGGCAGCAACATCCACGCAATGCAACCAGAACGAATGCGCCTAGAAAATACACGGAGGTTTGACGCGGTCAATTGGGGCTGAACCCTAAACTCCTGCAGAACAACGCCAAGGTGTAGCTTCCCCCCCCTCGCTCCTCCTTTTCCCCTCCCTCCCCTTGTGCGGCTTCCTTTCGTCTGCCGTGCTGCGTCCAGGACCACCACTCCTCGCTCGACAGTCCCAACAGTTCGACCCGTCAAGTATTTTTCTAGCGTCTCGGCCTCTGCATTCAAGGGCGGCTGGCCTGTTCCGAAAGCAACTAACGGACGAGCATGGCGGCGATCCAGCATTTGTTGCAAAGGGCCTTGAGACCTCCGTGCTCGTTACAGTCACAACTGGCAGGTGAGAGCCATTCTCCGCGCCATCCCCGCAGTCGTTCCGTTTTCGCAGCAACGAGACCCGCTGCCAGTTTCCCCTCTTTCGCGGCGCCAAACAGCACACGCCACGTCGATTTTCCGCTGCGTGTCGCATGTCGTCCCGCTCGCAGGTGAAGCCGTGCGATCGTCCTCCCATGCGACGCCGCTGCGAGCAGTCACGAAGCTTCCTGGCCTCGTTCGCGGACAGGCGTCTGCGTCCGCGTCAGCGGCGGCGTCCCAGCGAGGCGCAGCAGCTGGCGGACGGGCGGGTGGGCGCGGGGACTCGTTGCGATGCAGCGCGCAGGCAGCACCGGGCGACGCAGGTGAGGCCCCGTCACAGCCGGTAAGGACGCTTTTGAGCAAAGGGAAACACTAGCTTCCTGCAATGCGATTGAATCGGAGAGGGAAAATGATGAAAAGGCCATCATGAAGGTCAATTGCCCCACACGCGCAGGCCGCTCGGCATGCATTCTAAGAGATTCGAGTAACAGATTGCACATGGAGCCTCCCTCGTGTGGCACTGCAACAGACTGGTAACGCCGAACCAGCACTCCTCCACCAATCTACAAAGTAACTGCTTGCCTTATCCCAAACACCTCCCCACCCCTTTGCCTTATCCCAAAAACCTCTCCACCCCTTTGCCTTATCCCAAACACCTCCCCACCCCTTTGCCGTATCCCAAACTCCTTCGTCTTGGAAGAATCTCAGCCGCGAGTTACTGAGCTGAAGGGCTTGTTCCATAGGGGGTGAGCTGAAGGGCTTGTTCCATAGAGGGTGAGCTGAAGGGCTTGTTCCATAGAGGTTGAGCTGAAGGGCTTGTTCCATAGAGGGTGAGCTGAAGGGCTTGTTCCATAGAGGGTGAGCTGAAGGGCTTGTTCCATAGAGGGTGAGCTGAAGGGCTTGTTCCATTGAGGGTGAGCTGAAGGGCTTGTTCCATAGAGGTTGAGCTGAAGGGCTTGTTCCATAGAGGGTGAGCTGAAGGGCTTGTTTCATAGAGGGTGAGCTGAAGGGCTTGTTCCATAAAGGGTGAGCTGAAGGGCTTGTTCCATAGAGGGTGAGCTGAAGGGCTTGTTCCATAGAGGGTGAGCTGAAGGGCTTGTTCCATAGAGGGTGAGCTGAAGGGCTTGTTCCATTGAGGGTGAGCTGAAGGGCTTGTTCCATAGAGGTTGAGCTGAAGGGCTTGTTCCATAGAGGGTGAGCTGAAGGGCTTGTTTCATAGAGGGTGAGCTGAAGGGCTTGTTTCATAGAGGGTGAGCTGAAGGGCTTGTTTCATAGAGGGTGAGCTGAAGGGCTTGTTCCATAGAGGTTGAGCTGAAGGGCTTGTTCCATAGAGGGTGAGCTGAAGGGCTTGTTCCATAGAGGTTGAGCTGAAGGGCTTGTTCCATAAAGGGTGAGCTGAAGGGCTTGTTCCATAGAGGGTGAGCTGAAGGGCTTGTTCCATAGAGGGTGAGCTGAAGGGCTTGTTCCATAGAGGGTGAGCTGAAGGGCTTGTTCCATTGAGGGTGAGCTGAAGGGCTTGTTCCATAGAGGGTGAGCTGATGGGCTTGTTCCATAGAGGGTGAGCTGAAGGGCTTGTTCCATAGAGGGTGAGCTGAAGGGCTTGTTCCATAGAGGGTGAGCTGAAGGGCTTGTTCCATAGAGGGTGAGCTGAAGGGCTTGTTCCATAGAGGGTGAGCTGAAGGGCTTGTTCCATAGAGGGTGAGCTGAAGGGCTTGTTCCATAGAGGGTGAGCTGAAGGGCTTGTTCCATAGAGGGTGAGCTGAAGGGCTTGTTCCATAGAGGGTGAGCTGAAGGGCTTGTTCCATAGAGGGTGAGCTGAAGGGCTTGTTCCATTGAGGGTGAGCTGAAGGGCTTGTTCCATAGAGGGTGAGCTGAAGGGCTTGTTCCATAGAGGGTGAGCTGAAGGGCTTGTTCCATAGAGGGTGAGCTGAAGGGCTTGTTCCATAGAGGGTGAGCTGAAGGGCTTGTTCCATAGAGGGTGAGCTGAAGGGCTTGTTCCATAGAGGGTGAGCTGAAGGGCTTGTTCCATAGAGGGTGAGCTGAAGGGCTTGTTCCATAGAGGGTGAGCTGAAGGGCTTGTTCCATAGAGGGTGAGCTGAAGGGCTTGTTCCATAGAGGGTGAGCTGAAGGGCTTGTTCCATAGAGGGTGAGCTGAAGGGCTTGTTCCATAGAGGGTGAGCTGAAGGGCTTGTTCCATAGAGGGTGAGCTCGCACACATTTAACCCCCCACGCCATCCTTCAAGGCCTTCGGCCGATCCCAGTGCTCCTCCTCTACACGTCACCACCCTCTCCATTCCCATTCCCTCCCTCCCCCTGTCCCTCCCATCCTCCCTTGCACAATTCCCCACCACTACCGCCACCAGCAACACCAGCACCAGTAGCAACACCGGTACCACCACCAGCAGCAGCAGTGGCAGCGGCAGAATGGGGGAGTTGTTGGGTGGCCGGGTCGCATCTCGCATTCGAATTTCAAGGCTGACGTCGCGCCAATCCACAACTCTCTTCCCTCTCCACCTCGCCCTCCTTCCCTTCCCACTCCCCTTCCCGTCCCCCGCCCGTTCCCGTCCCCCTCCCTTCCCTTCCCTCCTCCTCCTCCTTCCTCATCCCCCGCATCGCCGAGCGCGCAGCAGCAGCAGCGTGAGGGGGAGGTGTTGGGGCAGCAGAGGCGGATTCTGAATCCGGACCTGGGGGCGGATATAGTCTCATGCGGCTTCATCAACACAACCCCCCCCCATCCTCCCCCTCCTTCCCTTCTCCCACTCCCCCTCTTTTTCCCTGCTCTTCCCGTCCGCCTCTTTCCCTTCTCCCTCCCTCGCCCTCCCCGGAGCAGCACAGCAGCAGCAGCGCGAGGGGGAGGTGTTGGGGCAGCTGAGGCGCATCCTGGACCCGGACCTGGGGGCGGACATAGTGTCGTGCGGCTTCATCAAGAACCTGCAAGTGGACGAGGCGGAGGGCTCTGTGACGTTCGACATGGAGCTCACCACGCCCGCCTGCCCCGTCAAGGACTCGGTGAGCAGCGCACTGTAACGAAGATGACTGCTTGCTTGGTGAGGCCAGTTCATTAGACTCGTTACCCGCCCTATTTCTCTCCCCGCCTCCCTACCCTCCCGCCCCCCTGGCCCCCCATCGCCCTGCTTCGCCGCCTTCGTGCTGTGCTGTGCTGTGCTGTGCTGTGCTGTGCTGTGCTGTGCTGTGCTGTGTTTCCATCCAGTCCACTCAAAACACGGGCGAAGCCAATCGGCCCTGCTGCCCGTCCCCCCATCACTTGTGACTCCCCCCTGCCCCCTACCCGCCCCCCTCCCCACCGCACTCCCCAACCCCAACCCCCGCCCTTTCCCTCTCCCCCTCCCCCCTTCCCCAACCCCCCTCCCCGTCTACCTCTCTCCCCGTGTGCTTGGGCTGCCCTGGCATGTTTGCCTCCGCAGTTCGAGTCGCAGGCGCGTGAGTACGTGGGGTCGCTGCCCTGGGTCAAGCCATCTGTGCCTGCTGAACATGCTTTCCCCTCTCACTCCCCTTCTCCCTTGCTCTCCTGGTCCCATCCCAACCTCTCCCACCCTGCCCCAGTTCGAGGCACAAGCGCGCGAGTACGTGGGGTCGCTGCCGTGGGTCAAGACTGTTGCCCTCACCATGACAGCTCAGCCGCCCAAGCCGCTCGTGGCAGAGGAAGTGCCACGTGGCCTGCAGAGAGTGGCCAACATCATCGCTGTATCCAGCTGCAAGGTGAACCACTGGCTCTGCTCTTGCCTCTCCTCCCTGCCTGCCCCAACCTCCTCACTCGCCTCACCCTCCTCCACATGACCGCACGCAGTAATGCAGCACTGCACTGCACTGCATTGCATTGCCTTCGATCATCGCTCCCCTCCCCTCTGCCACCCTTTCATCCCTCACCGCTCTGCCCTCCCTATCCTTGACCCTCCCCCCTTCTTCATCCACCCCCCCCCCCCCCCCCCCCATCCCACCCCCGCCACCCCCCATCCCACCCCCGCCACCCCCCATCCCACCCCCGCCACCCCTCCATCCATCGCCCCTCTGCCCCTGCTCCTGCCCCTGACACGGCATGGTGCGGCACGGCATGGCACATCACATCACATCACATGCATCAGGGCGGGGTGGGCAAGTCAACGGTGGTGGTGAACCTTGCAGATGCGCTGCACGGCATGGGCGCCCGGCATTGCGCACGCTCACCCCACCCCTCTTTATCTCTTCCCCTTGTCCTCACTTCCCCTCTCACGTTACAACACACCACACCACACCACGGCCGTGCAGGGCGGGGTGGGCAAGTCGACAGTGTCGGTGAACCTTGCATATGCGCTGCACGGCATGGGCGCCCGGCATTGTGCGTTCTCATCCCTGCCCTCTCCCTCCGCTCCCCTCCCTATCTCACGGCAATGAGCCGACAGGGCGGGGTGGGCAAGTCAACAGTGGCAGTGAACTTGGCGTATGCGCTGCACAGCATGGGCGCTAAAGTGGGCATCTTTGACGCCGACATCTACGGGCCCGCATCTTCTTATCCCCTCCCCTCCCCTCCCTCCCCTCCCCTTTTTCCCCTCCCTCCCTCCCCTCCCCTTTCTCCCCTCCCTCCCTCCCCTCCCCTTTTTCCCCTCCCTCCCTCCCCTCCCCTTTTTCCCCTCCCTCCCTTCCCTCCCCTTTTTCCCCTCCCCTCCCTCCGCTCCCCTCCCCTCCCTCCGCTCCCCTACCCTCCCATTCCCTAACGGCAAGCAGGGCGGGGTGGGCAAGTCAACAGTGGCGGTGAATCTAGCGTACGCGCTGCACGGCATGGGCGCTAAAGTCGGCATCTTTGACGCCGACATCTACGGGCCCTCCCTGCCCACCATGGTCTCTCCCGAGCTCCGTGTGCTGCGCATGGTGCGTGTTAAGGGGTGAGGGGTGTGGGGGGGTGGGGAGGGGCGGAAGGGAGTGGGGAGTGGTGCGGGTGGGCATCTTTGCCGCTGACAATCACGGCCCCTCCCTGCCCACCATGGTCTCTCCTGAACTCCGCGTGGTGCGTGGTGAGGGGGGGTGGTGACTGGTGTTGGGGATGGGGAGTGGCGTGGGGGGGGGGGGTAAATGGGGAATGGGGAGGGACGGGTTCTGGGGCTTTTGTTGCTGCACACCGTGATTTACCTCTCTGCAACAAGAGCAGAGGGGAGGGGCCTCTCTGCAACAAGAGCAGAGGGGAGGGGCCTCTCTGCAACAAGAGCAGAGGGGAGGGGCCTCTCTGCAACAAGAGCAGAGGGGAGGGGCCTCTCTGCAACAAGAGCAGAGGGGAGGGGCCTCTCTGCAACAAGAGCAGAGGGGAGGGGCCTCTCTGCAACAAGAGCAGAGGGGAGGGGCCTCTCTGCAACAAGAGCAGAGGGGAGGGGCCTCTCTGCAACAAGAGCAGAGGGGAGGGGCCTCTCTGCAACAAGAGCAGAGGGGAGGGGCCTCTCTGCAACAAGAGCAGAGGGGAGGGGCCTCTCTGCAACAAGAGCAGAGGGGAGGGGCCTCTCTGCAACAAGAGCAGAGGGGAGGGGCCTCTCTGCAACAAGAGCAGAGGGGAGGGGCCTCTCTGCAACAAGAGCAGAGGGGAGGGGCCTCTACTCGCCCAACAGTGCTCTTTGCTTCCACCTCTTTCCTGCCCTCTTCCTCCCTCCCTTCCTTCTCCATCCCCACCCCCCTGCCAATTCCTTCACCCGCTGCTTCCTCACTCGCCCTCTCCTGCTTCCTCACTCGCCCTCTCCTGCTTCCTGCCGCCACTCCAGCACCCCCAACGTCGCATTCCTTCTTTCTCCCACCCCCGTCTCCACCCCCTCCTCTCCTCATCTCCCCTCGCCCACCCAACGTTTTTCCCCTCACCTCAGAATCCATGCATGAGGCACATGACACGAGCACGTACCCCACTCCCATAACCAAGAGTCCCCATTGTAAATTCACTGTGCCCTCTTCATCACGCTGCCCTGTGCCCCTCGCCCCCCGCCCCTCGTCTCACTTCCCTCGCCCCTCGTCTCTCGCCCCTCGCCCCGCTCCACGCAGGATGCGGAGACGAGGGAGATCATGCCAACAGAGTACCTGGGCGTCAAGCTCGTCTCCTTTGGCTTCGCTGGCCAGGTCAGTCAGTCACCCGCTGCTGCTGCTTAGGCAGGTCCGAGCTGCTGCTGGCAGGTGGGCTTGTTGAATTATTCTGGGTTTGGTTTCTTCCCATGGGGAGGTCTGTCGATCAAATCGCGTTATCCCAAATATGCGCTGTGCACCTCCCACCCGCAATGCTGTGCGATGCAATGTGATGCGGTGCGGTGCAGGGCAGTGCCATCATGCGGGGCCCCATGGTATCAGGGGTGATGATTCAGCTGCTCACCACCACGGACTGGGGCGACCTTTGAGACGCCTCAAAAAGGGCTGTGCGCTTCTGTGCTGTTCTGTGCGGTGCTGTGTGGTGCAGGGCAGTGCGATCATGCGGGGCCCCATGGTATCAGGGGTGATGATTCAGCTGCTCACCACCACGGACTGGGGCGACCTTTGAGACGCCTCAAAATGTGCTGTGCGCTTCTGTGCGGTTCTGTGCTGTTCTGTGCGGTGCTGTGTGGTGCAGGGCAGTGCGATCAAGCGGGGCCCCATGGTATCAGGGGTGATGATTCAGCTGCTCACCACCACGGACTGGGGCGACCTTTGAGACGCCTCAAAATGTGCTGTGCGCTTCTGTGCGGTTCTGTGCTGTTCTGTGCGGTGCTGTGTGGTGCAGGGCAGTGCGATCATGCGGGGCCCCATGGTATCAGGGGTGATAAACCAGCTGCTCACCACTACAGACTGGGGGGAGCTGGACTACCTCGTCATTGACATGCCGCCCGGCACTGGAGACATCCAGCTCACGCTCTGCCAGGTCAGCATGCTCTGCCAGGTGCCATCGCAAGTCAGCATGCTCTGCCAAGTCAGCATGCCCGGCCAATTCAGCATGCTCTGCCAGGCGGGGTTGGGCCACCCTTGGTGCTGTGCTGCCCCACATGGCACAAGACATCCACCCCTCCGTGTTTCTCACCGGCTCCCCTGCCATGCCACTGCCTTCATGCCCGCTGCAACCCTCGTTCCAACTCCCTTTCTTTCCCCTGCCTCTAACAAACACTTCATACTCCTCCCCTCTAACACGGCCAATGCCATGGCGCCTCGCCTGTGGCGCACTGCACTCCCCCCTCCCCCCATTGCCAGGTGGTGCCGCTGACAGCAGCAGTGATCGTGACCACGCCACAGAAGCTCGCCTTCATCGACGTGGCCAAGGGCGTGCGCATGTTCTCCAAGCTTAAGGTCAGATGCACATGCCGCCAAGGTCAGATGCACATGCCGCCAAGGTCAGATGCACATGCCGCCAAGGTCAGCTGCACATGCCGCCAAGGTCAGATGCACATGCCGCCAAGGTCAGCTGCACATGCCGCCAAGGTCATAACATAACACGCGCCCTTTAAACTGTCACATGTTTGAGTCGACTCAGAAGCTGGCGTGCGCATGTTCTCCAAGCTCAAGGTCATCCTCACACGCTCTCAATGTCATGTTGTATTACTCGCCGTTCAATGTCACACACACCTCATGTCGCAGATTCCGTGAGTGACGGCACCTTGTCATGACCCCACATGCCCCTCAGCTCAGACCTCCATGCTTTGTTTGTCCATGTTGATGCGCCCCCCATACCTGCATGCCCCGATGCCCCCCCCCTTTCATAACTGCCAGGTACAATGTGCGGCTGTGGTGGAGAACATGGCTTATTTCGAGGCAGACGTGAAGCGCTACTTTTCCTCCATGCCCCAACGCTCCTGTGCCCGAATGCCCCTCCCCCTTCTCCTCCCTCCATAACCGCCAGGTGCCGTGTGTGGCGGTGGTCGAGAACATGGCGTTCTTTGACCGCATGACCCCCACGCCCCCACTCCCCCACGCCCCCACGCCCCCACTCCCCCACGCCCCCACTCCCCCACGCCCCCACGCCCCCACTCCCCCGCCCCCACTCCCCCACTCCCCCGCCCCCACTCCCCCACGCCCCCCTTTCCCAGGTGCCGTGTGTGACAGAGGTGGACGGGAAGCTCTACTTTTCCTTCACCCAATGCCCCCATGTCCCAATGTCCCCCTCCTTTCCCCCCTCCTTTCCCCCTCCTTTCCCCCCTCCTTTCCCCCTTCCTTCCCCCCTTCCCATAACTGCCAGGTGCCGTGTGTGGCAGTGGTGGAGAACATGGCCTATTTCGAGGCAGACGGGAAGCGCTACTTCCCCTTTGGCAAGGGGTCGGGCAGCGAGGTGGTGGCGCAGTTTGGCATCCCACACCTCTTCGAGCTGCCCATTCGCCCCGAGGTGCGCTGCGGTACCCCACGGTGCTCCGCGGTGCCCAAAAGTATTTGTTGTTTCGAGTATGTCCTTGGTGATCTGGTGCTTGGAAATCATTTCTGAGGCGCCTCAAAATGCGCCAAAAAAAACCGCCTTAGACGGCGCCCCAAACTCGTCCTCAAATGGCGCCAAGAAGAACATCCTTAGGAGGCGCATGGCAGTTGGGAGATGCAGTGCTTGCTCGAAAATCACGCTCGGCCATGTCCCCCCCTCCCCGCCCGCCCCCCCCCCCCCCGCTGCCTGTTCTCAATTCTGGCACTTGTCTCTGCCTCACACCTCTCTTCTCATGATCTTGCCTCAGTGCCTCCACTGTGACACGCCTCCCCTTTGCCTCCCATGCTCCCCCCATGTGTGACACGCCTCCCCTGTGCCTCCCATGCTCCCCCCATGTGTGACACGCCTCCCCTGTGCCTCCCATGCTCCACCCATGTGTGACCGCCAGCTGTCAGCAGCGGGGGACAGCGGGCAGCCGGAGGTGGTGGAGGACCCGTTGGGCGAGGTGGCTCGCACGTTCACGGATGTGGGGGCGTGTGTGGTGCAGCAGTGCGCCAAGCTGCGGCAGCAGGGTGAGTCAACGGTTCAACTGGCACTGGGTGTGCCGCTGCTGAGTGCGTTTCTATGGTAACGTGGGGGCGTGTGTCGTGCAGCTGAGTTAGAGGGATGAGAGGGCGTGGTAGTGGGCTTGTGTGGGGGAATGTGTGGTAAAGAGCAAGGAGAGCGATTCAAGGATAGGGGTGATCAAAGATGGGGGAAAGGTGCACTCCCCACAGCAAGGTGCAGCATGGGGGGAACAGGGCCTTGCCGCTGAAATCTCTCCTCTCATTTCTCTCCCTACTCTCCCTCCTCTCCCTCCTCTCCCTCCTCTACACCCCCCCGCCCCCTCACCTCCTGCCCGCCAATCCAGTCGCCACAGCAGTGCTGTATGACGAAGCTCTGAGGGCCCTGCGAGTGAAGCTTCCAGGAAGCGACGAGGAGTTCTTCCTGCACCCGGCAACAGTGCGACGCAACGACCGATCGGCGCAGAGCATTGTGAGTCAACGCGAGTCAATGCGAGTCAATGGTAGTCAGTGGTAGTCGAGGGAGTCAAGTTGAGATTCAGGGAAAGTGAGCTGGCGTGGAGGGGGCCCAGTGAGTGAAGGAGGGTCAAAGGAGTCAAGCGCTGCTGTCAAGGGCTTTCAAGGAGTCAATTGGAGTCAAACAGAGTCAGGTCTCTTGTGACTTAGCTGGGAGCGCAGTGAGTCAAGAGCAACACCAGTGGGCACTGTGAGTCTTACTAGAGTGGGTGGGAGGCTGCATGCATGTCCACGCATGTCATAGGAGGGCGAGGGGGCTGGTAACACCTCCTCCCCTTGCTCGTGACAGGCTGTTCTACCCATGCCACTGAATGGCTGCACCACTGCACTGCATCTGTAGCGATTTGATTTCTATCTCCCAGCACCCTACTCCTCCCATCTCCTGCCCCTCCATTCTCTATTCTCCACTGTTGTAACTCTCCCATCGCCCCTCCCTGCATTCTCACCCTCCTATCGCCCCTCTCTGCATTCTCACCCTCCCATTGCCCGGCCCTGCATTCCCACCCTGGTCAGGACGAGTGGACGGGGGAGCAGAAGCTGCAGTACAGTGACGTCAGCGATGACATCATCCCCGAGAGCGTGCGGCCTATGGGCAACTACGCCGTCTCTATTGTGTGGCCTGATGGGTTCAGCCAGGTCAGCAGATGGTGTAGCCAGGTCAGCAGCAGGTATTGCCAGGTCAGCAGAGGGTGTAGCCACGTTCTCAAGATGCTCTACATTCACACATCACATGGACATACCCACACACACGCTTGCGGTCTCACACAATTGCCCTCTCATAGTCTACACACATTCATTCTCCCTATCTTCCTCCCAATCCCATTCTGCCAGGTGGCACCGTTCGACCAATTGGAGGAGATGGAGCGCATCGTGGATGTGGAGGGCAGGCGAGAGGCCGTGGCTGCGTTCAAGGAGCAGGAGAGCGGAGCTGGGGCTGCTGATGTGGCACCAGCTGTGCCCGTGCAATCTGACCTGGCAACTGAGGGGGCCAAGTCGTCTGCAGCCACGTCAGCAGCGGCACAAATCTTAGCCCATGCACGGACCTTGAAGCAAATATAAGCAGTAGGTGCATGTGCAGTGCTGTTAAGCAACCCCCAAATGACGTAATGGCAGGACATTCTGTTTTGTGGGTGAAAGCTTCGCACATGCTGTCATATATCCTGCTTAACCAGTACAGAGCCAGAATCTTTAGGGAGAGTGCATGGATATTGAGTTGATGAAAGCTTCACACCATCGCTTATGCTATAACAATGGAACCGAATTTGTGTTGTGTAAATGCATGCAATATTATGAGCAATTGGTTGCTGGGCTGGCTGGCCACACCTGGAGCTAAAATCAAGGAAGCCCTTCCCTGAAATATTGAGTGAAAGCACTGAAAATGCCATGATGTCCGTGTGACCAGGCTGAGGTTTTTTGTGGAACAAAAATTGCTTGTGAAATGTTAAGTTTATGCATGGCATGGTGAAGTTTCGAGTGTATATGTCTCAGAATATCTATTACCAGCTTTACTCAATAAACTGCTTGTGAAATCCGACAGGTCATATGGATTGACTTCCACGAAAGTGTTCGACGAACATCGCCGGACGATTACGATGTAGTTACCAGCATTAAGTTCGCTTCCAATGGGAGTTTCAGCTCGCTTTTATCCCGTCTGGCTTATGCTGACCAAATCTTCGGACGCGCGCCGCATTTTTCAGCTAGTTGAGCGAATCCACATTTCCTGCGAAGTCAAATTGGAATGTCTCAGAGCGAGCAAGTTTCACGTGCCCGTTACGGGTCTGGACGGGTTACATGCTGAGAAACGCGGTTGCAGCGCTTCTGGCCGTAATCCAGGGATTCATTGTTCTCGGCAATGATTTCGCGGCACACCAGTGGCACGGACGCACTAACGTCACGGAAAAGTGGACTCACCTTCGCACGTTTTTCCAGCATTTCTGACCATCTTGGCAGGTGCATCCCGGCGGGACAAGGCCCCACTCAAATGTGCGACTCCGCATCTGGGCTGGTGGGGTACAAAAGGGAAGCACAACCTCACTGGAACCATCATCAACAATTCAAGCCATCCGCATTCAAAACAACTCAACTTCTGTTCCTTCGTTCTAGTAGCACAACTGCCAACCAGCGTGTGAAGTAAGCGTCACAGCTGATTTCACAATGATGCGCGGTCCGAAAATCGTGATGCTGCTGCTTCTGGGGGCATTCCTGCTGTCTGCGCAGCCAACGAGTGCAATCCGCGAGTCAGCTTGGCGCCTGATCAGGCGCGGTTCGAACCGCGCATGGCGCAACGGCGGAGAGAATGCGCAGCTCGCGGCACCCTCGAAGGAAAACTCCGGCGAATTTGCGGCGCCAGCAGCTGAAGGTTCCGCCGTCTACATCGTTCGCTTGAATGCCGCGCCTCCCCTTTGCGAATACCACGGCGGAATCGCGGGCTACCCTGCCAGCCACGTGGGACGACAGCAGCGACGAGGAGGACATTGATGCCGTGCCGCAAATGATTATCCCCGCCGGCGATTCCGCCGCCGCATCAGGCGGCGAAACCGTCGATCTGGACGACACCGACGGCGACCAGCTGCTCTCAAACGCGACGGCGCCATCCCCGCCCGCAAACGGCTCATCTGACGCCTGCAACTCCCAACGCTCGCGGCGGTCGCGGTGGCAGTGGTAACGGTAACGGAGGTCGTAACGGTGGCGGCGGGTGCCCGCGGCACCGGCTGAGTCTGAGCATGGACCGCCCCCAGGTGGCTGCATTCGCGGGGCTGCTGCAGAGGCAGCAGGCGCAGGTGGCATCTGAGGCGGGCGTACCCGAGGACGGGCTGCTCTACAGCTACAAGCACACGTCCAACGGCTTCGCCGCGCGCCTCACGGCGCGCCAGCTGTGGCGGCTGCCATCACAATCTTCCGGTCTGGATTTCAGCTGGTTTTCAGCCAGAGTTCAAGAATCGCGGCGGAAATCTGACTGAAAACCAGGGTCGATTTCCGCCTGAACACATGGCACTAACGTGACTGGTTTTCTCGTGGATTGCAGGCCTATCATAGGATGGGTTCAGGGGTTCGGTTCAGCCTGCGCTCCAGCTGGTAACTGACCGAAATGGGTGTGGTGGTAACGCCACATTCCGCGTCGGAATCGCGCCTCGGGGCCAATAAATGTAATAATGTACACCATTCGTTTTTTGTATAGTAGTTTCTATTAAATCTATGTTCGATATAAATATTTGTATTGTGCTGATTTCTCAATTCGGTTTACAATTGTTTTTTTTTGTTTTGCATATAATATTTCAGCTGTTATTACTGTTGCTGTTGCTGTTATAATTGTTCTGCCCATATAATTATTAATATCAGAACACAGAAACTAGTATTGCCCATATTACTGCTTTAAGGATCGGTGCATTTATTACCATTCTTACTAACCAGAAATTCAAACAGGCAATAGTGCAGGGTAATCCGACGCATCAATACGGACCCCGTTTTCGAACACCTACGCGTTTGTTGTCGCATCATGCGTGACGCCCAGCACATTCACAGAGTGCTCCACCCAACGTCGAACCCTGATGCACGTTAGCTCATACAACCTGCGGTTTTCACGCTGGTCCGTGCCCAGCTTGCCATCCCCTGCTGCCTCCAACAGTGGGTTCTCGAGCTGAACACAGGAACAAGGCGCAACAGCATTAACATGTTGATATTGAAACCTAACCGTTGGATATAATGAAAAAAACACTTACTGAAAACAAGGCGAAAGCCACCATGCGTGTCTTCCACGCTGTGACATCGACGCGGCGCCTTCGAAACGCCTTGCTCATGGCGATCGCAAACAATTTCGTGGAGAATGGGCGCTGCGTGATTTGGTCAACATGCCATTTCAGCCCCCACTCATCTGCCAGAGCATGTGATAGACGAGGGGACAGAGAAGGGGACAGAGCATGTGATAGAGGAGGTGAGAGCACGGGAAGGGACAGCGCAGGAGGGGAGAGCATGGGAGGAGACAGAGCATGAGGGGAGAGCAAGGGAGGGGACAGAGCAGGAGGGGAGAGCAAGGGAAGGACAGATCAGGAGGTAAAAGCACGGGATGGGACAGAGTAGGAGGGGAGAGCACGGGAGTGGTCAGAGCAGGAGGGGACAGAGCATGTGACAGAGGAGGGGACAGAGCATGTGACAGAGGAGGGGACAGAATGTGACAGAGGAGGGGACAGAATGTGACAGAGGAGGGGACAGAATGTGACAGAGGAGGGGACCGAATGTGACAGAGGAGAGGACAGAGCATGTGACAGAGGAGGGGACAGAGCATGTGACAGAGGAGGGGACAGAGCATGTGACAGAGGAGGGGACAGAGCATGTGACAGAAGGAAGGGAGAGAGCATGTCACAGAGGAGGGGAGAGAGCATGTGACAGAGGAGGGGGGGAGAGAGCATGTGACAGAGAAGGGGGGGAGAGAGCATGTGACGGAGGAGGGGGGAAGAGAGCATGTGACAGAGGAGGGGGGGAGAGAGCATGTGACAGAGGAGGGGGGGAGAGAGCATGTGACAGAGGAGGGGGGGAGAGAGCATGTGACAGAGGAGGGGGGGAGAGAGCAAGGGTTAGGAGCTCACCAGTCATGTTGTCCCGGACCAGTTCGGCATCGTTCCGATACACTACCGGACGATCCAACTCCGCCGGGAGGGACATCACCTTCCCCTTGTTTTTCTCCCGCCCCAATGCAGTTAGAACCAATCGACGGAGTATTTTGCCAATTGCGCACCGGGTATTGCTGCATGCTGTATAGAATGCCCCCTTTGTTGTTGGGCATTGTTGTTTCCACAGCAGTTGCAAGTGGGGCATGGTATCAGGGGACATAAGTAGATTACCCAGCCATCGCCTCTTCACTCGAAGGATACATCTGGATGTGACGAGCGTCATTCAGCCAGAAGAACTCGGTGATGACACTCCGGCACTTCGCCTGCCAGGAAAAGAATGTATGAGTAGAAGGAAGGGTGGGGCAACACAAAATGTACGTGGTTGAGACCACTACAGGCATGGCATGGTGAGTGCAGAGGAGCAGCGAGACAAGGCAGGAAGGGAGAGCACTGGAGGGGACAGAGCAGGAGAGGAGCGCACAGGAAGGGACAGAGTAGGAGTGGCAAATCAACGGGGAACAGAGCTGGTGGGAAGACTGCATGAGGGAATAGAGCATGAGAGGAAAGGGCAACAAGGGTTTATACGCACCTTCCAGTCTCCAGCATCGACGATCACCATTTCCAGAGCGATTTGTCCGGCACTCCGACTTGGAGGGCGAGGAACGCCTGTTGTTGCGTCGCTGCCCTGCGACGCAAGTCCTTGAGCAGGAACCGCGACTCCTTGAGCCCTGAGGCTCTCAAACTGTTGGAGCATCTCCTTCCTAAGCGCCGTAAACTCCGCTCGTGATACCCACTGCGTCTGCGCCACCCTAATTGATACGGCAGCCAAAGCCGTGGGCCCTGGAGGCAGCGTCCTTACAGTAGTGGTACCCCTGGGCCTGAAAACTCCAGTAGATGCTGCTGCTGCTCCCACCCTCCCTCCAGTCGATGCCGCTGCTCCTCCCACCCTCCCTCCAGTCGATGCCGCTGCTCCTCCCACCCTCCCTCCAGTCGATGCCGCTGCTCCTCCCACCCTCCCTCCAGTCGATGCCGCTGCTCCTCCCACCCTCCCTCCGGTCGATGCCGCTGCTCCTCCCACCCTCCCTCCGGTCGATGCCGCTGCTCCTCCCACCCTCCCTCCGGTCGATGCCGCTGCTCCTCCCACCCTCCCTCCAGTCGATGCCGCTGCTCCTCCCACCCTCCCTCCAGTCGATGCCGCTGCTGCTCCCACCCTCCCTCCACTCGATGCCGCTGCTCCTCCCACCCTCACTCTAGTCGATGCCGCTGCTCCTCCCACCCTCCCTCCAGTCGATGCCGCTGCTGCTCCCACCCTCCCTCCAGTCGATGCCGCTGCTCCTCCCACCCTCCCTCCAGTCGATGCCGCTGCTCCTCCCACCCTCCCTCCAGTCGATGCCGCTGCTGCTCCCACCCTCCCTCCAGTCGATGCCGCTGCTGCTCCTCCCACCCTCACCCCAGTTGATGCTGCTGCTCCTCCCACCCTCCCTCTCGTTGACGCTGCTGCTGCTCCCACCCTCACCCCAGTTGATGCTGCTGCTGCTCCCACCCTCCCTCCTGTTGACGTTGCTCCTCCCACCCTCGCAACAGTCATACCCACAGGAGCTACTGCTGCTCCCACTTGCATCGCACTAGTAGTTGCCCGCTAGGTGACCTGTAGCTGGGGCAGCTTCCCCCCTCCCCCCCCAAGGTTGAATCGCTCGATGGTGGTTGGCGGACCCACACCAGAATTCTTCACCGCTGATTGGTGTAGGGTGAGAGCAAGATGGGACAGGCCAGGATGGGTTAGCGCATGAGGGGACAGGTCAGGATGGTTTAGGGAAGCTAGTTGGGAATATTCATGGGACAACGAGAGTATTGACAGAGACGGATGGGAAAAAGCAAGGCGGGTCAGAACGAAGGGTTACAGGGCTGGAGGGCAAAAAGTGGATGACTTACGCTTTTTGGGCTTAGGTTTTGTCTTTGTCTTCCCCTCCGTTGCTTCACCTTTACCCTTTGGAAGGGGTTTAGTGCTAGCCTTCTTACTCCTGTGCTTCGTGGGTGGCTTCGCCGCCGCCAATGCCCCTTTCATGGTCTGCCCTCCTTGTTTATCCTTTGCTTCTCCGCCACGCCCATTACCGCACTGTTGCGTATCATCCGGTGCGGCCCCCAGAATCATAAACCGCCCTTTCTTCACCACTCGTGCAGCTTCTTCATCCTCATCCAGCGTCGACCCGCGGCTGAGTGCTTGTACGCGTGTCCGCCGCCCATTAGTTCTCTCCTCTGCACTAAAATTGGAGTAATCGGACAAGCCTTCGCCCACATTCTCGCCATCTGCCTGGACCCCATCCGCCTCCTCTCCTTCCGCCTGCTCGCCTTCCGCCTCCTCTCCGGCCCCATCTACAGCCCGTATGCTTTCCCCCTCTTCGCCTTCCCCCTCTTCGCCTTCCCCCTCTTCGCCTTCCCCCTCTTCGCCTTCCCCCTCTTCGCCTTCCCCCTCCTCGCCTTCCCCCTCTTCGCCCTCCCCCTCCTCGCCTTCCCCCTCTTCCCCTTCCACCTCCTCGCCTTCCCCCTCTTCGCCTTCCCCCTCCTCGCCTTCCCCCTCTTCGCCTTCCCCCTCTTCGCCTTCCCCCTCTTCGCCATCCCACTCCCCACCTTCCGCCCCTTCGCCTTCCGCCTCCTCGCCAACAGCTCCTACGCCTTCCGCCTCTCCGCCTTCTGCCCCTTCACCTTCCCCCTCCTCGCCTTCCCCCTCCTTGCCTTCGTCTGCTTCGCCTTCGTCCGCTTCGCCTTCGTCCGCTACGCCTTCGTCCGCTTCCCCTTCGTCCGCTTCGCCTTCGTCCGTGTCGCCTTTGTCCGCTTCGCTTTCGTCCGCTTCGCCTTCGTCCGATTCGCCTTCGTCCGCTTCGTCTTCGTCCGATTCGCCTTCGTTCGCTTTGCCGTCGTCCGCTTCCCCTTCGTTCGCTTCCCCTTCGTCCGCTTCCCCTTCGTCCGCTTCGCCTCCGTCCGCTTCGCCTTTGTCCGCTTCACCAACCACCTTCTCGCCATACGTCTCGTCGCGATATGAACCGTCATCATTCGCCACACCAAACACCGCCTGTTCACCGTGCGCCACATTATCGACCGCATAGCCGTTCGGATCGGCGGACGTTTCCGTACCGTCGTCATTCTCACCTAGAATGTCCGCGGTGAAGCCATCTAGGAGCTTGCGCCGTTCCTCGGTGGCGCATTGTGCTTTCTTACCACCTCTCTTTCGACGCCCACCGCCTTTTTTTGCGTTCGCCTGATCACCCGCCTGCTCACCCTTACGGCCTTGGGAGATGGTTGGCTGCGACATTGCTGAGATGCAAAGGGCTGTAAGTGAAGGCGTTTGTTAGTAGTCACAGTTTTGAGCAAGTACTACAAGCTCGAACCAAAACATCGCTTATAAACAGATCATGGTGCACCGCTCTTCGCACCTCGACGCTTGGTAGCCAGGTATCGGAGTAGCCGTCGAACAAGATTCGTGCGCTACGCTCGTATCGTGCCCGGCGTGACAGCATCCCGACCACCACGGCTCGCAGATCGACGAATACGAGGGACGTGGGAGACATGAAGCCGCCACGAGAGACACGTACAGCACCGTGGTGTCAGAGGTCCACTGGTGATCCCCGATCGATCCTAGGGAAGGGTTACAGGCACATTTGCCTGGGGGGTTATGGGCGCACTGACCCGCTACTGAAACAAGCCCTTTTATCCCAATGGTCTAGTGGTTGGGATTCTGAGATGGTATCCAGAGCGAAGGTCTCGGGTTCGAATCCCGGTGTATGCACTTCGGGCATCCCAGTGCGGGGGGGTGTCAGAGGTCCACTGGTGATCCCCGATCGATCCTAGGGAAGGGTTACAGGCACATTTGCCTGGGGGGTTATGGGCGCACTGACCCGCTACTGAAACAAGCCCTTTTATCCCAATGGTCTAGTGGTTGGGATTCTGAGACGTGGGAAGGTTGACAATCGGTGGTAAGGCAAGTTACGTGCATCAGACAGAGGCGCGATAGCCATCTGCAGAAAACGAAGGCGACCAAAGAGGGTTGCACTAGACATCCTGCACTGGACGTGCGCACGGTAAGACTAAAAGAGAGGATCACCCATGCTGCACATCTGCTGGTGGGGTCCGTCATGTCGCGACTCGAGACGCTGTTCCTCTCACAAACGAGGCGACGCATACTCCCTCTCAAGCGGTAGGATGTAAGTGGTTCGAACTGAAGAACCGTGCAGCGCTTGTGATTGTAAGGACGCATGTCTTATGGCAAAAAATGTCTAAGGTCGACCCTATTACCGCGTTCTACCGTGGCAAAACGTCTCTTAAATACATCTGACCGTGCACAACCACTCTAGAAGTGCGAAATTTGGCCAAACTACGACCTCAAGGCCACTCGCCCTAAGTGCATGCACATGTTCTTGCTAATGGCTCGCTTTCTGGTGAGTGTCGCTGTAAAAAAAGGAAAGGCCTCCATTGGTCCCTGAAATCTACAGTGACCGGTGATGACGGCCGTAGATAGGGGGGTCGCGTTGAAGATCAGTAACAACCCTAAATCTAGATGTACAAAATGGTAGGCCTATGTAGATTACATTACAGAAGGTCTCTCTCAAAGATGCCATACTGAAAGCTACAGATTTGGTCAACTGTTGGAAATTGTACTAATGTTTGTTTTAGGATAGTCATAGCTATACATTGCATTAATACTGCTGAATCATGCACAAATATGCACAAGGGATTGGTTTATGTCTCCAAATGCGCTCATATTTTGATGTCTTCTAGGGCTCATAAACACTTTGGTTGAGGTTTAAATCTTCATTCAAGTGTCTCTACTATTTCCCCTAGTCCTCCTCTATTGTTTTGTAAAGAAAAGCTTATTTCCCTGAATTTTACAAGAACCGCCGTAACAAGCTATACCAACAAAGCTTCTAGCACTCAACCTCTCATTCTCTCGCCATCACAGTTTATGTCATCTCCATCTTTTGTGTTTACAATGAATGGAACCATGTGCTGCCTCTGTGACCTAGTAAGGTGCCAGGCTGTCAACATAATTTTGGTTGTTTCACAGGCCATCATCATATATACCAATAAACAACGCAAGCGTGATTGGATGGGCCTGATCTCTTAACCAACTCACTCCCCATATGCAATGAGCTCCTCATACAAACCTCAGAGCGTTCAGAGAAGCGGAACACAGTGGCGTGAAGGCAAGCGTCAAGGCAAGTGTCATGGTTGAAAAAACAGCCCCATTGCATTTGATGCACCAGCTTGAGTTACAATGCTAGAGTGATTGGATGGGCCTGATATCTTAACCAACTCTCTCCCCATATGCCATGAGCTCCTCACACCAATCTCAGAGCCGTCAGAGAAGCGGAACACAGTGGCGTGAAGGCAAGCGTCAAGGCATGTGTCATGGTTGAAAAAACAGCCGCATTGCACTTGATGCACCGGCTTGAGTTACAATGCTAGAGTGATTGGATGGGCCTGATATCTTAACCAACTCTCTCCCCATATGCCATGAGCTCCTCACACCAATCTCAGAGCCGTCAGAGAAGCGGACCACAGTGGCGTGAAGGCAAGCGTCAAGGCAAGTGTCATGGTTGAAAAAACAGCCCCATTGCACTTGATGCACCGGCTTGAGTTACAATGCTAGAGTGATTGGATGGGCCTGATATCTTAACCAACTCTCTCCCCATATGCCATGAGCTCCTCATACCAATCTCAGAGTTTTCAGAGAAGCGGAACACATTGACGTGAAGGCAAGCGTCAAGGCACGTTCACAAAAGCTGTAAGGCAGAAAAACAGAGACATGCATCAAGGCCTTCCTGAGCTGGGATTGGTATGATTCTTGGAGACTGAGACAATAGGATGCCTTTGAACCATCCCTACAAGTCTCAGACTGATTGGATAACTAGAGCACACTCTGTTCACAAAACCAGTGAGCACATGGGGTGAATTCACTCAGGCAGAAAAACTGAGACATGCATCAAGGCCTTCCTGAGCTGGGATTGATATGATTCTTGGAGCCTGAGACAGTATGATACCTTTGAACCATCCCTACAAGTCTCAGACTGATTGGACAACCAGAGCACACTCTGTTCACAAAACCAGTGAGCACATGGGGTGAATTCACTCAGGCAGAAAAACAGAGACATGCATCAAGGCCTCCTGAGCTGGGATTGGTCTAATTCTTGGAACCTGAGACAATATGATACCTTTGAACCATCCCTACAAGTCTCAGACTGATTGGACAACCAGAGCACACTCTGTTCACAAAACCAGTGAGCACATGGGGTGAATTCACTCAGGCAGAAAAACTGAGACATGCATCAAGGCCTTCCTGAGCTGGGATTGATATGATTCTTGGAACCTGAGACAGTATGATACCTTTGAACCATCCCTACAAGTCTCAGACTGATTGGACAACCAGAGCACACTCTGTTCACCAAACCAGTGAGCACATGGGGTGAATTCACTCAGGCAGAAAAACAGAGACATGCATCAAGGCCTTCCTGAGCTGGGATTGGTCTAATTCTTGGAACCTGAGACAATATGATACCTTTGAACCATCCCTACAAGTCTCAGACTGATTGGACAACCAGAGCACACTCTGTTCACAAAACCAGTGAGCACATGGGGTGAATTCACTCAGGCAGAAAAACTGAGACATGCATCAAGGCCTTCCTGAGCATGTGGTGAAGATGTATGACCCGGAAGAGCCGGATGTGTACATGATGAACAAATACATAGTGTAATCTGTAGTTGCAACTAATAATTGCATTCTTGCATTGTAGAAACAAATAATATCGTCTACGTGTTGTTCCTGAAATCATCCATATTTAAATTGCCAGTACACAAAACGAGGCTTACTGCAATGTCGAATTATAATGAACCGCTGAATTTCCGAACCGCTATTTTGGGAAGCGATGTGCAATCGCGGCTCGGACGAACTGGAAAACAGTCTGGAAACAGGCGGGAGAATTTCGTGAGGGGCGAAATTGAGTGCCTGAAATTTCCGTTGGTGTTGCAGGTGAGTCGCGCCTGAAATTGCTGTTCGACAAATTGCTGAACCCAACCACAAAAAGGCAGGAACATTGTGATGGCGGCGCCACCCCACCGTGGCGTCCGTCCGCGCCAGCCGCGTGTTCCGGCGGCAGACCAGTGACTCGCCGCAGTTCCTGGGGCTGCCCGGGAAGGTGTGGCCGGCAGTGGGCGGGCAGAGCAAGGCGGGCGAGGGCACGGTGGTGGGGATCGTGGACACGGGTATCTGGCCCGAACACCCGTCCTTCAGCGATAAGGGCCTCTCCTCGCAGCTGCCCGCGGGGTGGACATCGCACGAAGAAATGTGGCTTCCAGCAATTAGCTGGAAGCCTTCCTGGTGACTCCCGTTTTCGGGAGTCCTGTCAATCTGCTTTCAATACTGGGGGGTAATTGTGGGGCAACAGAACCACCCTGCAGTCAACCTGCGCACTGCCGAAACCAACCTGCGAGGCGATTGAAATGTGTAAGTTGCGCATTGCATGTCAGTTGGGGCGAGTAATCTAGTTTGTTACTTTCGGAAACGAAAAGAAGGCCCTCGCACAGGCGAGAATTGATTAGTTCAGTTGTAACCACTCGCGTAACAAAATTGTTAAAGTTGGTTACCGCGTGATAACAATATGCGTATGTATAAAAGCGATAAAGAAAAGCTTAGTGGATATTTGTTCCTATAGGAGATGTGACAAGGCGACATTTAATTGAGATAACTACACTGCTAAAATTATGATCGGTAGAATTTCGAATGGGTTTATTATCAACAAATCAAAACAATTCCCTAATTATAATTAGCTATTATTAAACGCTTACAATACTAATTGGTTAGAAATTAATCAACAAAATATCACATACTAAACCTACATATGCACTACAGCTACATAAAGCTACTAAACATCCTCTACAATCTGCCAATCCTTAACAATGACATCTCCAAAATAGTAGAACCCACTGACTAGTGGAATGCTAGCGTGAAGGACCCAGCTCTCAACCTGGAACTTCCTCTTGGTCATTTCGCGGGTGTTGTTCTCGGAATAAGAAAACATGCTGCTTCGATCACGGCATACCATCTCAAACTCGACCTGCCAAGAAAAGAGCGAAATTAGCCGGTTGAAAACGGCAAGATAAAGCATTATAAATGCATGTTCGCTCACCGCGACCATGGTGTAGCACAGCTGGTCAATGCTCAGGGTGTAGACACCCCCCTCTTTCTTCTGCCACTTGCTTGCAGCAGCTAAGAACGCATCGCTACAAAACGGCTTGTTCTCGTCAACATGCCACGGCAGG